TGGTAGGGTAGGATAGGGTACGGTAGGGTAAAGTAGGGTAGGGTAAAGGGATAGGGTGGGGTAGGGTAGGGTAGGGTAGGGCAAGGTAGGGTATGATAGAGTAGGATAAGGAAGAATAAGGTAGGGTAGGGTACGGTACGGTACGGTACAGTAGGGCTGGATAGGGTAAGGTACGATAGGGTAGGGTAGGGTAGGGTAGGGTAGGGTAGGGTAGGGTAGGGTAGGGTAGGGTAGGGTAGGGTAGGGTAGGGTAGGGTAGGGCAGGGCAGGGTATGGTAGGGTAGGGTAGGGTAGGGTAGGGCAGGGCAGGGCAAGGGCAAGGGCAGGGCAGGGCAGGGCAGGGCAGGGCAGGGCAGGGCAGGGCAGGGCAGGGCAGGGCAGGGCAGGGTAGGGTATGATATGGCATGCTATGGTAGGGTAAGTCAGGATAGGGTTAGATGAGCTAAGGTACAGTATGGTTGAGTAGTATAAGGTAGGGCTACCGTAACCTCTCTCCCCTACTATTAGTTCTAGTACTCCCAGTTTGTGTACCATGAGTACCATACAACTGCACGACTCTATTCGGCTCGATGCCTACAATAGTACTAGTGACACTCTGAAAGCACCGTTTTATAAAAACCCTATACGGCTTGACAATACTAAGTAGTACCAGACAGTCCAGAGTAGAGTGCAGTCTAAAAATTGTAAATACCACAAGTAAAAGATGGTTAATATTGCTAGGATCGATAAACACTAATAGAAAACCGGCAGTAATAGGGATGATGACAAATACATACAAACATAGTACTTGTGCCAACCATGCAAACAGTAACATACTATGGTTCAAGTGATTAGTAACTGATATATAAACCCGCATGATTTTTATATTACGGTAGGTGAGGATACCTAGCGTTAGTATCATTGACATGTAGAAGACTGTTAAGAAGCCAAAACAGAAGTATAGAGGTGAGATATATCCACCGTAACCCTCGTCGAATACAGTATAACATATGGTGGATGGTTCGTTGAGAAACAAAAGCTTTAGGCTTGGCGTTGCTTGGCCTATACGTTCTTTTATTCTTTCTTGGGGAATCTCGGCAAAGGCCATTGTTAGCTGAAAATAAGGGAAGAGTTATGTTAAGGTAGGGTTGGGTAGGTAGAGAGCGGTGGGATAGGGTAGAATAGAGTAGGGTAGGGGATGGTAAAGTAGGGTAGGGTAGAGTAGGGTAGAAGAGGGTAGGGAAGGGTAGGGCAGAATAAGATAGGGTATAGACTAGGATAGCGTAAGGTAAACGGTAGGACAGGGTAAGGGTTATTGTAGAGCTAGTTAGCCTTGATAGTACAGGCAATGATTAAGGTAAATGTAAGGCAAAGGTCGGGTTACGGTACGTAATATATGCGTACCATTGGGTTACGATGGGCAAGGTAAACGGTTACTGTAAGTATAGGATTACTGTAAGTATACTATGGAGCTAGGTAGAGTAAGGGAGCAGAATAGGGCACGGTCAGATAAGGTATCATATGCTAGGGTAATGTAGAGTAGGGTAGGGTACGGTAGGGCAGAGTAGTGTAGGGTGGGTAAAATAAGCTACAGTAGAAATGTGAAACCTTTACCAATACACCAGTAGTCCCACTAACATAAAGCGCAGCACCACTTGTAAAGCTTTGTCGTTTAGTCCAATGTGCCATTTTATGTAAGATGTTTGAATTCGGTGGTAATGACATTATATACCTATAAAACAAAGCTACTAACAGTGAGTAGCCTTTCAGTATCGTAAGAGCTCCAAAGGCTTTAAAAATTGGCTATATCCACACCAGCCGCACCTAATGGACCATATAGGTAGAAGCAGTGGTATGGGAATAGAGTAACTGGCTGCATTAAAGTTATTACTACGTCAAATATGTAGCTAGATACAACTTCTATGCATATTATCCATTGGTAGGCTCCCATTGACTTTGTGGACACTGTGGTTACGATGTATAGTGTTAGGAAGGATAAGATGGTAGAACATAGGAAGGTAACTTCTTGGATTGTTTTATAGTGTTCTAGGGTTTCGTGGGGCAGGTGGTCCATTTTTGAGCTGAAAAAACTAGGTATAGGGCAAAGTGGCAAATTTTACAACTATAAAAATGGTAGGGTTACGGTAAAGTACGGTACATTAGGGTAGGATGCACCAGGGTATGTTAAGGCAAGGTAATTTACTGTAATGTAGGGTGGCGTACACTAGTGTATGGTAGGGCAGAGTACGTTACACTAGGATATGGAAGAACAGGGTAGGGTATGGCAAAGCGGAGCAGAGTATGATAAAAAGGGGCAGGATAGGGTAAGGTACACTAGAATATGGTAGGGCAAGGTAGGGTAGGGTAGGGTAGCGTAGGGAGGGTCGAGTTGGATAGGATAAAATAAGGTAGGGAGAGAGTGAGTAGAAGTCTTACTACTAGAAAACAAATTAACACAAAGCATAAAAGCACAAACGTTTTATGTGTTCCGTAAATGGCACTGTAAATATATAATTACACTGTAAAGCCAAAAGTACTTCAAATAATATACATAGTACAAAAAACCATAGATATGACATTAAACGGCTAATGTCACACATAGACATGTGCTTACGCTTAAGTTTTAGTTTAGGCTTAGGCATAGGCATAGGCTTAGGCTTAGGCTTATTAGTCTTACAAAACGCAGAAAATGGCTAAAAATAACGCTTAAGATAATTTTAAAGATCCATCATATAGGCCAGACTTAAAAAGTTCTTTGGTAAGTAATGTTACTTGAAACCAGGTAAACGTATTATTATTGAAAGACGCAAATTAAGTTGTATAGTAAAATGAAATTTCGTTTTTTTACCTATTGTAAAATGAAATCCACTTTTTATATTAATTGTTCTTGAAGTAAAGAGTACATATACCATGAGAAACGTCATTGTCATACATTTTTTTAAATGTCTGATGAACTGATTTTTTATGAAAATCATAAAAAAATTAAAAAAATTTTTTTCTTTGAAAGTCAATGTCGTATGTTGTTGAAAAACGGTAAAAAATGTCACGAAAAAAGCTGTTACACCTTTTGACACTTTCCTTGTTATGCCTGAGTAGGGTAGTTAGGGTAGGGTAAAGTAGGGTAAGGTAAAATAAGGTAGATATATAACTTAAAAAACATGTTAATTTTTTAATAAAATTGAAAATTATGCATAGTTAATTTTAGCCGAATACACGTGATTATCTTACAATTATAATAATTAAAGTATGAAATATTGCATGGTTTATTGAATAAATTACCAAGTGATCAAATAACTTATGTACATATATACTTGTTTTATTTTGGAACTTTGCAAACATTAAGTAAAAAAGTTAGACAAATGCTTGATAAAATTATAGCAGTTCATGGTAAATTATGGTAGGGTACAGTTAAGGCTAGGGCTAGGCAGAATAGGATAGTACACATTAGAGCAGGGCAGGGTAGATTACAAAACGGTATGGTACGGTGTAGTAGGGTAGAGAAGTAAAGGGTAGGGCTGGTGTAAAGTAGGAAATAACAGGGAATTGCGTTGTTAGCGCAGTGGTTGTGGGGCCGCTCGCTATTCGGAAGGATCTTGGTTCAACCCCGCGCACCACCCAACCCAGGCGCCTTGAGGAATGGGTAGTGCTGAGTGCACTGCACGGGGGCTAGGCACATCTATACTTGGCCTACACGAGTATATGATTGAACGCCAGAAGCCTTATGGAGCACCTCACCCACGACTCAGTGACGCGAGGAACAGTGAAATACCTGGGGAGAGGCCCAATTATGGGAAAAGTCAGACTCAAGGATAGCTCTGTTGGTCTTCATCTGAACCTTGAACATCTTTGCACATCAGCACAGTACGTTACAATCTACGGCATCAAACTATAAAGTAAATAAATAGTAAATAGAACCGAGTAAAGTAAGCAGAGTAGAGAAGGGTAGGCTAGGGCGAAAGCTAAAGCTAGGGTTAAGACTAGGGTTAAAGCTAGGTAAAATAGAGTGGAAACGGTAGAGTGGGATAGAGTAGGTTGCGGTACGCTACGGGTCGATATGGAATGGTGTGGTATGGAGTGATAGGGCAGAGAAGAGTACGGTAGGTTGTAACAGTAAAATTAGTGGTGTAATAATCATTACAGTGTACGGTAAGGGAAGAGTAGGGTAGGGTAGAGCTAGGGCAAAGGAAAAGCTAAGAGCTAGAGCTGGGTAGATAGGGTAGGTAACGGTACGGTCCGACACGTCACGGGACGAAATGGTACGGTATGGTAGGGTAATGTAGGGCGATGAAGGGTAGGGTAGGGTAATGTACGGCGATGTATAGTGTAGTAAAATCAAGAAAGACAGTGAATGACCAACATTATCATTTTAATAGTAAACATATCGAAATTAAATAACAAAGTGAGTCGCAAATTGTCGCTTATAATTTCAAGTACCATATTATTATAGTTTTGAAAGCTATAATATCCATGGTTTCCGACTATAATTCTACAGATTTCTTGAAAAGAAAAACAAAATAGCTACTACAATTTCATTTGAATACATTACAAAAAGTATTTTGTAATTGAATTACATTAGACCATGGCAATGTAAACCATTGTAATGTAACGTGCAACACAATACTACTACATTTACTTTTACAATTTTGAAATTTTAGTTGCATGTGATACCGTAATATATAATGGTGTGCACATGTAGGTGACGTTATTGAGTGCAAATGTTTACTGCCAAAGCATTACAATGTTGTAGATGGCACGACTACAGTAATAACTATAAAACGCAGTAGCTTTTCTGCTTTTTGTTTACTGAGTAAGCTTTGCTTTACATTTTATTGTATTACATTACATTTCTTTTTATTTTTTAAAAATTTTTTAAAATTTTAAAATTAAAAAAAAATTTTTTAAAATTTTAAAATTTTTAAAAATTTCAAAATTTAAAACAAACCAACAATGACATTAATTTACTACTGTAACAACAAAATATTGCTTATACATAAGTTGTGACACATGGCGATTTTGCAATATTACCCCGCTCCAGGTGGTGTCGCTCGATTAGATGGAAATTCATTGATTCCACAGAAGTTGCACGTAGCTTCACAATTCTTCTTCATAAGCGTGAAGTAGGACTGAAAGTGATGTAAAATCTTAGTATTGTTATATACGTGCGAATTGTAAACTTACAAATTGTATAGAAAGGATTTATGACTCGTTAAGGAATGAGTCGAGTAGAGAAGACCATATTAGGTGCCGACATAAAGAACCCGCCTTTTTTTACATGAAATCAGAGGAAAAGTGTGGCATGTTCCTTATGTTGGCACCTAATATTAGAGTGTGTTAGAGCTTGGACAGAGAAAGGGAGTACTGTAGGAACGGTAAGACAAGGTTAGAGCCGGTTAGAGCTAAGGTGTAGGGTAGGATAGGTTTAATACGGTAGAGGACAGTACAATAAGAATAAAGTAGGGTAGAGCTAGAAACGGGTAGGGACAGCACGGTAAGAGATAGTACGACAGGAAAGCATAATGTATGACCGAGGCAAGCGTAGGGCTCTGAGCTGGGGCATAGTGCTTAGGTTTGGGCTCAACTTGGGCTAAGGTTAAGGCCGAAGTTAGGACTGAATCTAAAGCTATGTCAGTTCTCTGACATATCTTTAGATTCATTGGCTGCGGCTAGGACTGAGGCTCAGACTGAGGATAGGGCTGTGTTTGGGCAGAGCTAGGGCGAAAGCAATTTACAGTAGTCGTAAACAGGGCCGGGCGGGGACTTTTGGTCTAGGCGCGGGTTGAAAAAATCGGTCTACCTGTGCCAATTTTTTGCAAAAATTTTCATCCAAAAATCTACAGGGGGGGCCATGTTTACTTTTGTCGAAAGGTTTTTCTGGGAGGGGGGGGTACCCACCTGTCTCACCCCCCCTAAACGACTTTACAAGAAAATATACATGTTTTTCGTAAACGAGTTCGCGGGCCCTTCAATTGATGACAATCTTTAACCTAACTAATACAATAAATTAAAATAAGTGGAAAAGAAAAAAAACTTACTTGAACATAACATTGCAAGAACTTTACTGAACATTCGGTAATTTTGTCAGTACAACTAGACTGTTGCTGATTTGATTGGCAGCTACAGGTGTCTGGACAAATGTTTTGCATTAGGCGGATGTATTCCTAAAAATTTTTAAAAATTAAAAAAATATATAAATTTTCAAAAAAAAATTAACATTTTGGAAAATTGTTTTAAAATTAAAAAAAAATTTAAATTTCAAAAAATTTGTTAAATTTAAAAAATTATTTTAAAATTAAAAAAAAATTTAAAAAAAATTAAAATTTAAAAAAAATTTGTAAAAGTTAAAAAAAAATTTTATTTTCAAAATAAATATTATAATATTTAAAAAATCGTTAAATTTAAAAAAAAATTTAGGATTTAAAAAAAAAATTTAAAATTTTCAAACATTTTTTATTTCAATGCAAAAAATAAAAAAAATGTTTAAAAAACTATAAAATTTAAAAAAATTCCTTAATAAAAAATTCGTAAAATTAAAAAAAAATTAATTTAAAGAAATTAATTAAAATTGTAGATCTACTTTAAAAGCTCTAAATTTAACCTAAATTTAAAAAAAAAACTAGTACCAACCTGTCTAGTGCATAGCTGACTTTTCTGTTTGCAATCCTGAGATTTATCCGGCACTGATCCACATCTTGGTTTAGGAGCTTCTGTTGGTGGTGGTCCAGTGGGACAACCGCAGGTTTTGGCACAGTTTTGTTGCATTAAACGGTAGTATTCGGGCTTTTGACATAGAGCTGATTTGGTTTTGCATTCGGCTAGTTTGTCTGTACAACCGCTTTGGGTCGTTGGTGTTGTGGGGGTTGTTTTGGTAGTAGGAGTGGTAGGGCTAGTAGGTGTTGTAGGTGTTGTGGGCGTGGTAGGGGTAGTGGGCGTAGTAGGTGTTGTAGGTGTTGTGGGCGTGGTAGGGGTAGTAGGCGTAGTAGGAGTAGTAGGTGTACTAGGCGTAGTGGGAGTAGTAGGTGTACTTGGTGTGGTAGGGGTAGTAGGAGTGGAAGGGGTAGTAGGTGTAGTAGGTGTACTAGGAGTACTAGGCGTAGTAGGTGTACTAGGCGTGCTTGGCGTAGTAGGGGTGCTAGGAGTACTAGACGTAGTAGGTGTACTAGACGCAATTGGTGTAGTAGGCGTACTAGGAGTACTAGGCGTGCTGGGTGTACTCGGTGTACTAGGAGTACTTGGTGTGGACATAGTACTAAGAGTACTATCAGTAGATGCAGTACTTATAGTACTAGGCGTTGTTAGTGTTGTTGGTGTACTACCAGTAGTAGGGGTACTCATTGAAGTAGGCGTGCTTACTGTAGTAGGTGTACTACCAATACTAGGAGTACTAATAGAAGTAGGGGTACTAATAGTACTAGGCGTTGTTATCGTACTAGGTGTACTACCACTACTAGTAGTACTTATAGAAGTGCGGGTACTAATAGTACTAGGCGTTGTCATCGTACTTGTGGTACTGATAATACTTGGGGTACTTATAGAAGTAGGGGTACTAATAGTACTAGGCGTGCTACCAGTACTAGCCGTACTGATAGAAGTTGGAGTACTACTTGTGGTCATAGTACTTCCCGTAGTCGGTGTAGTACTAGTACTAGCAGTAGTCACTGAACTAGGAGTACTATCAGATGTTAGAGTAGAAGCAGCACTCATTGTAGATTCGTAAAAATCGGAGATAGTACTAAAAGGAGTAGTTGAACCTTCAGATGTTGTACTAGTTGATGAAGTACTAGTAGTGCTTGTTGACGTCGGACAACATACTTTACTACCAGCTACTGTAGTACATTGTGGAGTACTGCCTAGTGGGTTGCATACCCCGAGGGAACAGGCTAAAATGAAATGTGTGTAGGGTAAAATATGTTGGCTCTAGATATATAGTTAACATACGGTAACGTGAGTAGGTAAACAAAGTAATGTAAGCTTACAAGACCCAGGTGGACTGCCATCAGGACAAGTAGCAGCTGGAGTAGTGGGCGTCGATTGTGTAGTCGATGTTACGATCGGACAACATACTTTACTTCCGGAAACTGTAGTGCATTGCGTATTGCTAAGGGGATTACATATTCCTAAGGCACATGCTAAAACGAATGATTTGTACTGTAACTAGTTGTACTTTAATCGGTCTAAGTCTAAACAGAATAAAGCAAAGAAAGGCAGGGTAGGGTAGAATTAGCTAGCATATGATAAAAAAGAGATGGTGTAGTATAGGTTAAAGTACGGTAGAGTAAGATAGGGTAGGGTAGGGTAGGGTAGAGTAGGGTAGAGTAGGGTAGGGTAGGGTAGGGTAGGGTAGGGTAGGGTAGGGTAGGGTAGGGTAGGGTAGGGTAGGGTAGGGTAGGGTAGGGAGGGTAGGGTAGGGTACAGTAGGTTAAAGTAATATAGAGTAGGATATAGCACAGTAGAATAAAATGTAACATCAGCTTACAAGACCCAGATGGACTGCCATCAGGACAAGTATTAGCTGAAGTTGTAGATACTGTAGTTTGAGAAATAGTGGTGGTTAATACTGTGGTAGTGCTAGTTGACGTAGAAGCCGGACAGCATACTTTACTACCAGCTACTGTAGTACATTGAGGGGTACTGCCTAGTGGGTTACATACTCCTAGGGCACATGCTAAAACAAAATGTACAGTAAGGTAAAATACGGTACGTCTATTCAGACGGACATACGGTAAAAAACGCGTTTTTAAACAAAAATTTTTAAAAAGCAATGTGGGCTTACACGATCCAGGTTTACTGCCATCAGGACACGTGGCAGCTGGAGTAGTAGTTTGTGGAGTGGTCGTACTAGCTGGACAGCATACTTTACTACCTGCTACTGTAGTACATTGTGGGGTATTGCCGAGTGGGTTACATACTCCTAGGGCACAGGCTGAAATAAAATGTACATTAGATTTAAGTATAATATGATAGGTCTTCACAAGGTAATATACTACAAAGTGAGTGTTTGAGTCAAAAGTTTTTAAAAAGTAATGTCATCTTACAAGGCCCAGGTTTGCTGCCATCAGGACAAGTATTAGCTGACGGTGTAGATACTGTAGTTTGAGAAATGGTGGTTGTTGATACTGTAGTAGTACTGGTCGGCGTAGAGATAGGGCAACATACTGACCAGCCATTGACTTTAGTACAGGTTGTACCAGTTAATGGCGGACATACTCCTATTGGGCAGGCTGAAAATTTTTGTAACATACGGTTTGTGGTCAGTTTTGAATAAAAAAAATTAAATTAAATTTTTTTTAATTTAAAAATTTTTAAAACCTACGAATATAGCCAGTGCCACCATTAGGACAAGTCTGTGGACTTATTGTTGTCCCAGGTGTAGGTGTGGTGTTTGATGTGGTAGTGTCATAAGGACAACATACTTTACTACCTGCTACTGTAGTGCATTGGGGTGTACTGCCGAGTGGGTTACATACTCCTAAGGCACAAGCTAAAGCATTTTTTAAATATTTTTATATCAGCGAAAAGTAGGTTACGTTAAGACACAGCAAGGTGCAGCAGAGTAAGGTAGGGTAGTATAAGGAACAGTAGGGTGAGTTAGGGTAGAATAAAGTAGAATAGGGTAGTTTGGGATAGAGTAGGGTATGTATGTCTTTGAACTTTATACTTGAGGATTTTGTATGCTAAGTACTAGATTTATACTGCTAATTTAAAAAGCTTACAAGATCCAGGTGCACTGCCATCAGGACAAGTAGCAGCTGGAGTGGTGGCCTGTGGGGTGGTTGTGTCAGCTGGGCAACAATACTTACTACCAGCTACTGTACTGCATTGAGGTGTACTGCCTAGTGGATTACATACTCCTAGGGCACAAGCTAAAAATGTTTTTATTTTTTTATTTTGGAATAATCAAAAACGTCATTTTCCACTTACAAGGCCCAACCGGAGTACCATCAGGACAACTAGCTGCTGGAGTTGTAGTTTGTGGTGTAGTCGTACTTGCTGGACAACATACTTTACTACCAGCCACTGTTGTACATTGAGGGGTACTGCCAAGTGGATTACATACTCCTAGGGCACAAGCTAAAGAGATTTCATATTACGGTAAGACCTCTGTATAACAGATCGCTAAAGAATTTACAATTTGTTTGTTATGAAGAAGTTTTGTTATAAGAGAGGTTATCATAAAAGGCTTACAAGACCCAACCGGAGTACCATCAGGACAACTAGCTGCTGGAGTTGTAGTTTGTGGAGTGGTCGTACTAGCTGGACAACATACTTTACTACCAGCCACTGTAGTACATTGGGGCGTACTGCCAAGAGGATTACATACTCCTAGGGCACAGGCTAAAAACATTTCATATTACAGTAGAACCTCTGTATAACGAATCGTGTTTGTTATGAAAAAGTTTTGTTATAAGGGAGGTTATCATAAAAAGCTTACAAGACCCAACCGGAGTACCATCAGGACACGTAGTAGCTGGAGTTGTAGTTTGTGGAGTAGTCGTACTAGCTGGACAACATACTTTACTACCAGCCACTGTTGTACATTGAGGGGTACTGCCAAGTGGATTACATACTCCTAGGGCACATGCTGCAATAGTTTCGTTAGATTTGTGTTTTGTGAATACGGTATAAAGAAATAAGCCGATCATATTGGAGAGCGCGGATAGCGCAGTGTTTGCAGCGCCACTTGTTATTCGGAAGGACCTTGGTTCGACTTCCACCACTCAACCCAGGCGCATTGTGCAATGGGTAGTGCTGAGAGCACGGAGCTAAGAGCACGAAAACTAGACTTATCAACACAGGCCAGGTGAGGTGTATGATAGACAAACCAAAAGTCCTATGGAGCACCTCGCCCACGAACCAGTAATGCGAACCAGGATAAAAGAATATAAGAGGGAGAGGCTAAAAAAGGATCAGGTGATGTATAAACTTACAACTTCCAGGTGCACTCCCATCAGGACAAGTAGCAGCTGGAGTAGTAGTTTGTGGAGTGGTTGTATCAGCTGGACAACAAACTTTACTACCAGCTACTGTAGTACACTGTGGTGTACTGCCTAGAGGATTACATACTCCCAAGGCACATGCTGAAAAAAATGTAAAGTAAGTTAAAATACGTTGATTATAGCCGCAATAAATAAGAAAATTTAAAGAAAAAAATTACAAAAAGTAATGTCAGCTTACAAGACCCAGGTGTACTGCCATCAGGACAAGTGGCAGCTGGAGTAGTAGGGGTAGATTGTGTAGTGGTTGTTATTATCGGGCAACAATATTTACTTCCTGCTACAGTAGTACATTGTGTGTTGCTGAGAGGGTTACATACTCCTAGGGCACATGCTAAAACAAGGGGTTTTTACCGTAACACTTTAACTTCTAGTTCGAGACAAGGTAAAATAGAGAAAGTTCGATTAGGGTATTGTAGGGTAGGGTAAGATAGGGTAGGGTAATTCAGGCAGAGTAATTGATCAAAAAGACATATACATAGAAAGATACAGTTTCGTATTTTACCTACATGAACCAACAGTACTGCCATCCGGACATGTGGGAGCCGGTGTTGTAGATACGTCTTTTGAACCTAAAAAGCTATTTTTTAAAATTTTTTAAGTATTGTAAGACTCCTGTATATCAATCGTGTATGTCAAAAAATATCTGTACAACAAGTTAATTTAAAACTTTTGGCCAACACTTCATAGTGAATTTAAAACTTTTGTATTAGGTTGTTCACTTAATTCTGCGCTCCATAACTTTAAACATTTGCTTAAAACGAGCGCAGAATTAATTGAATGATAAAATATTAGGTGCCGACATAAAGAACCCGCCATTTTTTACAAGAAATTACAGGAAAAGCATGGCGGGTTCTTTATGTCGGCACTTTATATAAATTAATATACGGTTCTTTTTAGTTCAATCAAATATAACAAACCCCTTCATAACAAACAAATTTAAAATCTTTTAGCAATTTGTTATACGGAAGTTCTACTGTAGTTTTTTGCAATTTGTTTTTAATAAAATATGCATTATTTTAAAATTCGAAAATTTAAATTTTTTTTAAAATTTTGCTTACAGCAAAACGACGTCCATCCAATTTTAGTGCATTCTTGGCTGCTTAGAATACAAGAGCCGGTTGGGCAGGCTAAAAACGGCATCGTTAATTATTATATAAGACTAGGGCAGGTTAGAATACATGTGGTAGATTAAATAAAAAGAAAAGGTAGGTGTTTAGGTACGTCAAATTCTAAAAGAAGTACACAAGGATAAAAGAAGAGTATGATATGGTAAAGTCCGTTAGGGTAGACTAGCGTAAGGTACGGGTAGGGTACGGTAAGGGAAGGTAATTTATTAGTGTAGGACAAGGTAGAGTAGATAGGGTAGAATATGGTAGAATAAAGTATGGTAGGGTAGGACAGGATAGGGTAAGGTAAAGAAGCTTAGAGTATGATATGGTAAAATAAGTTAGGGTAGGGTACTGTAATTAAAAAAAAACAAAAAAATTTGAAGTACTCACGTTGACCAGGAATATTGCCATTAGGGCATAACGCAGAGCCAGCTACCAGAATATATGCCAAATTTAATGTTATGCTCAAAATGACAATTACTTTTAATAAAAACTCAGACCGCAACATCCTCCTACAGCTTACAATTATGACCTGGACATTGTGTCATCTTGTTTTATTAACTTTTTTTGAAATAAAAAATGATATGAATATTGTTTGTTTAGCCGTGAGTTCGTACGAACATTCAAATACCAAATGAGATGCGACCAGTTGTGTTATGTTGTTGTTCTGCAAACAATTCAAAGACCTTTGCACTTTGTTCGATCTTAATTTAGGTTTTGTTTAGATTTTGTGCTTTGTTGCGAATAAGCGAAGCGTACGGTGATATGAATGTATTAGCTGCCGACATAAAGAACCCGCCATACATTACCTGTAATTTCCTGTAAAACTTGGCGGGTTCTTTATGTCGGCACTTAATATTAAACATTAAAACAAGGTTCTCTCAAGAATCAAACATTTTTTCAAAATTCTGGCTACAATAGGATTACGGTAGGATAGAATTTTTTAGTAACTCTTGTACTAATTGCCAAAATAGAATGTCACTTTTTTAAATTGCTTGTCATTATAAGACTTTCATTTTATCGGTAAACAACTTTGTTATTATGCCCGGAAGGCATTGAAAAAAATTAAAATTTGCAAAAAACGTATGAAAATTTCAAAACCTTTGAAATTTCTCAAAAAAATTCATATGTGATAAACTTTTGACAATAATCTTTTAATTTTTTCGCCAAATTGGCATTGTGTTTCAAGTTTATAACTTTGCCATTTTTTGACTTTTATCAATTTTTCTTTGATACACTAGTAGAAAAGGTTTAAATCAACCTAAATTTTTTAATTTGTAAGCGTATCGTGTATGGAAAGTCCAAAAAAGTGCTTGAAACACAATGCCAAATTTGCCAAATTGGCGGGAAATTCAAATATTTTAATTTTAAAACTCAAAAGTGCAAGCTAAAATTTTTTATGGGTACTGTGGGTAGTATAAAGAAGTCATATAAGGATTTTGAGTTGATTCTGAGTGGGGCGGGTAGGGTACTTTCTTTGTCAGTTCATAGTAGGCCTCAAGTAAGAAGACTGTAGAATACAGCTGGCTTAGGGAAAATAAGCTTAAAATAAGGCTAAGATCAAGTAAAGTAGAGATCTACAGTTAGAACTACGTTTACAAAACCGGGCCCTGGGGGGGGGGGCAACAGGGGCAGAACCCCCCCCCCTCCCCAAAAAAATTTGCGAAGAAAGTTGAACGTGGTCCCCCCTGTGGATTTTTGGAAAAAAATTTTCCTGTGCCGTTTTTCGATCCCCGGACCCCTGACCAAAAGTCCCCGCCTGCCCCTGCATGTTTACATATAATACCGCCCAACCCAGGCGCCTTGAGGAATGGGTAGTGCTGAGTGCACGGGGACTAGGCACATCTATACTTGGCCTACACGAGTATATGATTGAACGCCAGAAGTCTGATGGAGCACCTCACCCACGACTCAGTGACGCGAGCAACAGTGAAATACCTGGGGAGGGGCCCAATTATGGGAAACGTCAGACTCAAGGATAGCTCCGTTGGTCTTCATCTGAACCTTGAACATCTTTGCACATCAGCACAGTACGTTACAATCTACGGCATCAAACTACTAATCTAATCTATATCTCCCGAATTGTAATTGTAGACGCTTGAATATGTGAAGTAAATAAAAAAAAATAAAGCAGGTCTTTGCGGCTAAAGCCTAAGTATAATACAATACTATAAATTTCATTTTATTTAAACTTTTGAAATTTCAAAACCTTTAAACTGTACAATTAAGGTTGTTTTGCTCAAGCTTTTCAAAGTGCTTCCTTCCGTCTGAAGCCGGCTTCCGATTCATAATTGAAAGCGTGGAAGAAGATGGTTTAAGTGGACGTTCGTAACGCGGATCAATTACTTCCAAACCCATTCTGCATTTTGTAATATATTAAAGGTGTGAGACATGTGCTTGTCAATTACTGCGACAATAAAAATAGAAGGAGGAGGGGGGGGGGATCAGGTGGATCAGATTTTACTTTCACATAGGTTTTTTTTGTAATATTCTTATTTTTTTTGAAAAAAAAACTAATTTTGTGTTTTGTAAAGAAAGTTCTTGTCATTTTTTGTTTTGTAACGAAAGTTCTTGGCATTTATTGTTTTGTAAAGAAAGTTTTTGCTATTTTCTGATTTGTAAAAAAAGTTTTTACCATTTTTCGTTTTGTAAAGAAAGTCCTTGCCGAAGATTAATACAGAAAGTTTTTACCATTTTGTATATTGTAAAGAAAATTTTTGCGATTTTTGTTTTGTAAAGAAAGTTTTTGCTATCCTAATAAAAAAAGTCAAAGTTACGCTTCTGCAGCCTGCGGTAGACAAGTTATACGGATAATCTTTTTAGTTTTCTTTTGCCATTCGTGTTTGGAAAGAAAGTTATAGCTATTTTCCGTGTTTTAAGCAGTTTTTGTCATTTTTTGTTTTATAAAAAAAAGTTTTTGCCATTTTTTGTTTTGTAAAGCAAGTTCTTGCCATTTTCCTAAAAAATTAAAATTAGACTTCTGCAGCCTGCGGTGGACAAGTTATACGCTAATTTTTTTCGTTTTTTGGTTTGTAAAGAAAGTTCTTGCCTTTTTTTGTTTTGTAAACAAAGTTCTTGCAATGGAAATTTAGTTTTACATTTTGAAATTATTAAAAATTTTCTTTTTACTTTTATTTTTTACTGCAGTAACCTTAAGTTCTAGTCGAAACATTACTAAAATCCAGAAAACCATGCCCTAAACCAGTAACTGACAATGTGTTTAGTTAATAAATCAGTCATTTGACCCTTTTTTCGACTATCTTCAGTAAATAAGGTCCTTGGTTGTTACCTAAAGAAACATTGGAATGTCGGGCATGTTTCTGGACACCCCACCCAAAGCCATCAATCGGGGGGTTTTGTGTAAAGTTTGCGAACGGTGGAGGCAGAGGTTGTAACGGTTTAAGGCGGAGTTCCGCCTTTTCGTAATATATTAGGCTAGGCTGCAGGGTTTGTGAACCGAACAGTTTAGTTGGGTTCGCTTAAAGGCTTATTGGTTTAGTTAAGTTGAGTTGAAAGGCTTATTAGTCGGGTTCGGTTAAATGGCTTATTGTGATTTTTAGGTAATATTGTTGGAGGGTAGGGTCAATGATATACTGTTGAGGGCTCGGGTCATTTTAGGTTAGGTTTGTTGTTTTAACATAAGCCTTACTCTAAGCTTTAAAGTATTCTTAGAATTTTGGAGTTCATTTTAGGTTTAAATTGTACCGAAATTTTAGTAATTGTATTGTAGTCAGATAGCACGCTTTGTCTTGATACTGTAGTCTCTCTATATAGTGAACTATCTGTATAAGCAACTCTTTTTATAGTAAACAAGAAATTCGGCTCCGCCAAGACAAGTTGCACTAAAAATCACTCTATAAAGACAACTCCCTCTATAGTACACATTAATGTTTTTCCCTTCGGATTCCTTATATAGCGCGAGCACTGTAGCATAGATATTAAAGTTATGTAGAATCCTAGTCTTAGGTTAACTTGATCTTACTCTGATCTTTCCTAGTATTGTTTTGTTTATGACTTACCATAGCTATAGCCTAGGCTTGCCTAAGCCCTTCAATATCATTGGCGTAGTTTTATCTTAGCTCTGCTCTTGCCCTGCTTATAAGTATCAGCCTCAATCAAAGTTTATTGTACCGTAGCTTTAGCTTTCGCTTAGCATCTTTACTTCTCCTCTTAACTGTATCTAGAGCTCTTTTAACGAATTTTAATTTTTACTTTTATATCATAAGCGATTTTTGAAAATTAAAATTTTTTTGAAATTATTTTTTGATTTATCACTATACCTACCCCTACTACAATATTCCCTTATTAATACCATACTTTCAGACCAAAATGGAGGACAAACTCCGGTTAAAAGAAGCCGAAAACATCAAGCGTCTCGCTTTCCTGGCTATCAGTGTCAGCACCGTCGCCACGTTGACTGCGATCGTAGCTGTACCAGCCATCTACACCTACCTCCAGACGGTCCAGTCGAGCCTCCAAATCGAGGTCGACTTCTGCCGTCACCGTACCAACGGACTGTACGCTGAATTCCACCGTATCCCAAGCGCCCCAAGACTACGTCGCGACGTGTTCCGCAAGAGTTCGGGATCGACCGGTCATGCCAAGGCTCGTGCTGCTGATACTTACGGTGAAGCACCAAAGGACCAAAGCTACGCTGCCACACCTTCAGGCTACGATGCTCCAGTCTCGGCCCCAGTTAACCATCAACCAGCCGCCTCGGACAACCAACAATGTGGCTGCTCTTGTGGAGTTGGACCAGCTGGACCACCCGGTGCCCCAGGACAAGACGGTAACCCAGGAGGTGACGGTAACGCTGGTCGTGACGGTAGCCCAGGAGAAGACGCCGCCCAAAACCAACGCCCACAAGCCGACGACTACTGCTTCGACTGCCCTGAAGCTCCAGCTGGACCAGTCGGACCACCAGGCCCACAAGGACCACCAGGTGTTCCAGGTGTACAAGGATTGGTTGGACAACCAGCACCACCAGCCGGACAAGGTCAACAAGGACCACCCGGACCACCAGGCCCACAGGGACCATCCGGACCACCAGGCGCTCCAGGACCAAACGGTGTACTCAACACTGTCGAGGGACCACAAGGACCAGCTGGACCAGCCGGACCTAACGGACCAAAGGGTGCTCCAGGACAGCCAGGACAACCAGGACAGGACGGTGAGCCAGGCAAACAAGGACCAGAAGGAGAGAAGGGTGTACCAGGCCAACAAGGTGCTCCAGGTGTGCCAGGTGATGCTGGTGCTGATGGTAACGCTGGACCTCAAGGCGGTTGTGACCACTGCCCACCACCAAGAACTGCTCCAGGCTACTAAACGGTGCTTTAAGCGTGTGAAATTGGTACTTTTGGTACAGTACTTAATAGTACAAACTTAAAAGTTGTACTATATAGTATTGGCTTTAAAGGTACTAACGAGTACTGTTTCACTTAGTGGTACTGCAATAGGTGCTATTGGTACTGTTTTTTGTTGGTTGTTTAACTTTTTGCACATTTTCTCAGGAACGCCAAATGACATTAGGACAGTTTGACATTGTTTTAATTTAATTTGGCATTTTTTGATTTTTATAAATATAAATGCTTTGAATTTGAATATTAAATTTTATATTAATAAACCTTGCAATTGAATATTGACGTGTATTTGTAACGTTAAAATTAAAAAATAGAGACCTTATCCCTAGCTTAGCCTTATCCTTAGCCTTAGCCTTTAGCCTAGCCTTAGCCTTAACCTTAGCCTTAGCCTTAGCCTTAGCCTTAGCCTTAGCCTTAGCCTTAACCTTAGCCTCAGCCATAACCATAACCTTAGAGTTAGAGCGAGACCTAGTAGTAATCATAGCTAAATCTCTAGTATTGTAGCCTTAACTTTAGCCACAGCCGTAGACTTAAACCAAGAGTTAGACTTACGTCTTGCGATTGTCTTAGCTCTACTTTTAACCTAGCGTAGTCAGGCGCTAGCGTGACCTTAAGCAATGCCATCCTAGTATTAGTCTTACCCATTTCTAGGACCTCCTCCTCCTCAGAAAAAATTTTCGAAAAAAAGTTGAACGTGGTCCCCCTGTGGATTTTTTGGAAAAAATTTTTTTGATTTCTCGCCTCCAGACGAAAAGTCCCCGCCCGGCCCTGCCTTCAGTACCTTAATCTAAATTTGCTTACTTTACGCTACAAATAAGCCTAACTATGTTTACCCTTCCGCAATACAAAAAAATCTTACACTTACGATTCTCTTGTCTTATCGTTCAAGAAAAACCATTCTTTTCCGTGTCAAACTTTTACCACAACAAAACAAAATGTAAAAATGTGTTGTTATTGAAGTAAACTCCGTGAAGATAATAGACAAAAAATAGAAATGTGGCCCAGAATGACCCTATTTTGATGGAAAACCTTTTTTTTCTAAAAAACATTTCAAAGGCTTTTTATCGAACTAAAAAAACTTCTTTTTTACTTTTCAATTTCAAATCGATTAATTTTGGGTTTTTCGTGTTTTTGTTTACTATTGAGTCATAAGGCTTTTGTATCGAACTTTGTAAAGTTGGGGTGAAGTTGTGGGAGTTCTTTTTATTATTTATACAGAGTAGGGTTCTAGGCATGTTTTTGAGGTTTATGTGTGACCAGTTTTCTGCCCGGACCGGAGCGTTTTTCACCGCTGCGGCCCAGGGATTTTTGGGTCCGATGATCGGACTCCGATCTTATCCAAATCCAGGTCCGGTCTGAACAAAACCCAAAATTTTTTGGTTCAGTCCAGTCTAAACTTCCAACTTTTTGGTTCAGTCAAGTATAAACTTTAACTTTTTGGTTCAGTCCGGTCCAAACTTCAAATTTTTGAATCCGGTCCGGTCCAAACTCAAGATTTATAAATCCGGTCCGGTTTACAAAACATTTTTTTTGCTTAAAAACTCTTAAAAATACGTTTTATTAAAAATTTTTAAAAAATTTTGGTTTTTTCAGCCGGTCCGAAAAAATTTTTGTTGCCACCGCCCGGTCTGACAAAACACTGTGTATGTCATTGATCATGCTTACGATAATCTTGTTATGATAATTTAAAAAATAGTTTTAAAAATTTATTTTTACCAACTTTTTTTTGAATTTTAGATAACATCTATAGTCCCCGTCAATTAAAAGGGCAGCCTTCGTTCTCTGAGATGGTAACACCTAAACAAAAATTTTTTTCTATTATCGATAGACCGATGATTTTCATGCAAATTTTTAAAAAATCAAGAATTTTGTTTTTATTTTACGAATTCTTAAAATTGGTAGAACTTCGTAAGTAGTTATTGGCAAACGTCATTCGCGCTTGCCGATGATTAGGACTTAATTCCAGTAATTGTCGAGTTTTTTGATATTGCACATCAATTGTCTTCAGAAACCGTTGCACAACACTTTTAGAACGTATCAAGTTCAACTCACTGATTACCATTCCTGAGTTTACTGGATGTCCTGCAGTAATTTTGGCTGAAATGAATTGCATGATTTGTTCCAACTCGTTCATCTATTAACTTGGGAGGTGGTGGTCGTTTTCTTTGCCTCCGTGGAGTTTTCTTGATCACTTTCAGTACAATCTTAACAGAATGACCCAACCTTTAAACCACTATGTTGCAATATCAATGTACAAGTCGATGATTCTTTGTTCCTGGACTTCCGATAACATATTCACTGTCCAAAAACTCGCAAAGACATGTTTTACAAAGAAATACTTCATAAAGTAAACATTATATTTGAATATTTTATAGACTTCCCTTTTAATTGCTGCTTTGAAAATTTGAATAATTTCTGTAGCTCGTAAAATAAAAGCAAAATTCTTGATTTTTTAAAAATTTGCATGAAAATCATCGGTCTGTCGATAATAGAAAAAATTTTTTGTTTAGTTGTTACCATCTCAGAAAACGAAGGCTGCCCTTTTAATTGACGGGGACTATACCAAATCTTACAAACTTTTCATTTGAAACATCTTCAATTTTAAATTTTTTTTAAATGCCATAACATGTCAATGAGTCGAAAACGTATTTTACAAGTGATGATAGCTTTATCACTATTATCATCTTGTTTACCTATCAAATGTTTAGGTGGTAAGTCTATAAATTTTATTTTTTTTTGTAAACAGAAGCAAGAAATTGGACGTATTTTACAAAATAACCTTTTTAGGTAACCAATTTCATGGAAAACAAGCAGTGTCAAAAGTAAAATGCCCAAAGAAAGTGGAATATTGCCTAAAATATAGTGATCAGAAACATGTCGATTGGTTTTTGTGAGTCATATTTATTAATAATATAGCTAGCGCTAGTATCAAAGTAGAGTAGGGAAGGGTATGATAACGGTAATGTATCTCAGGACCAATTAGAGTACGGCAAAATAAGTCAAGGTAACGTAGGGTTGAGTAGGGTAGAGTAAGAAAAACTATAGTAGGGTAAGGCAGAGTAAGACGGGGTAGGTTAGGGTAGGGTAGAATGGGACAGGGTAAGATAGGGTAGGGTACAGTGGGGTATAGAAGGGTAGAGTAGAGTACATTAGAGCAGGACAGGTCAAACCAAGACAAAGCAAGGCATGACAGAGTAAGATAAGGCAGGGTAGAGCAAAGCAAGGCAGAGCAGGGCACGGTAGGGATAAATAAGTGTGGGTAAAGTAGAATACAGTAGGGTAAGATAAGGTAGAGTACGGTAGGGTACTGTAGGGTAGGGTGGGTAGGGTAGGGTAGGGTAAGGTAGGGTAGGGTAGGGTAGGGTAGGGTAGGGTAGGGTAGGGTAGGGTAGGGTAGGGTAAAGCTGTAGAGCTACTTTAAGTACTAAATCTCGTATTTTAGAATGTGTGATTACGGAGAGTTTTGTTCGAACAAAACGAAACAACTACCACAATTCACTTACATCTGCTGTAATATGGACTACTGTAACAACTCGTCCTCTACTTTATATTACTCTCTAGCATTTTTGCTCTTGCCATTGATACAAATTTTGGTATTTTAAATCTTTTGTTCATTTAAAATTTTATTTTTTACCATGTAAATCATAATAAAATGAACATACCATGCATACTACTGTAAGTTTTGGTGTGTGATACTCTAAGTATATAGTGTGTTATACTGTAAGTATACATACTTATCAAGTGCCGACATAAAAGACCCGCCATACTTTGCCTGTAATTTGCTGTAAAAAGTGGCGGGTTCTTTATGTCGGCACCTAATACTACTGTTTTGTTAATACAGGATGCGCCAAAAGTTCTGTTACAAAACTTCACCGGTCGTTTTCTCTAGGTGTAGCCACTTCAAAATGTAAAAAAGATATTTTTTCAACTTTACCTTACTAAATGACTCATAGTTAGTCGAATACATGACAAAAAACTACTGACATGCACTTTTATGGCCTTTCCTTTCACCTTTACTACTACAACATCCATCCTTTACATTACGTTTGAGGCGTTATCAGTTTTAAAAATACTCTATTACCTGTTTCCCACCTTACTACAAAGTTTCAATGCCATTCCCTTCCGTTATCAATATTATCCATAACCCGTTTTGATGAATGTAAAAATCGACCCAAACCGGTTACAAAACTGTCAAACTGTTTGCGGAACTTACCGTTTTTTAGCTAGCCGGTAAAGGTTTTTGTAACTTTTTTTGACTAAGAGTGTTTATCATAAATGATTATCATCATTAAGAAAACCGCTTTTTAACGCCTAAAAGAACAGCTTTGTTAAACGTTTTTGTTGTTTAAAGCGTACAGTTAAGCCTAAACTTAAAATTATAAGTAAACCTAGATATAAGCCTAAAACTGCGCTTGAGCTTAATCATGGCCAAATCCTCAAATTAAGCCTAAACCTGAGCTTAGGTTTAAGCGTAAACCTAAGCCTGGGCCATAGCTTAAAAATAAGCCTAAGTCTCATTCTAAAACTACTTTTAAGCCAAAGCCTAAGCATAAGCCTAAAATTCAGCCTAAGCATACGCCTAAGCCTAAATTTAAGCATCAGCCAAAGCCTAAGCCTGAGCTTAAGCCTAATCCTAAGCCAAAGCCTAAGTCTGAGCTTAAGCCTAGTCCTAATCCTAACCCTTAGCCTAAGCCTAAGCTTGTGACTTATACTAAGCCTAAGCGTAAGCCTAAGCCTGGGCCATAGCTTAAAAATAAGCCTAAGTCTCATTCTAAAACTACTTTTAAGCCAAAGCCTAAACCTAAACCTAAGCTTAAGCCTACGCCTGAGCCTAAAGTTAAACCTAAGTCTAAGCCTAAGCATGAGCTAAAGTTTAAGCCTAAACCTAAACTTAAGACTGGACCTAAGCCTAGGCCTAATTCTTCCTTCAGATCAATGTTTAAACCCAATCACAAGCCTAAATCTAAACTTAAGATTAAGCCTAAGCATAAGCTTAAAATAAGCTAAACCTAAACCTAATTTTCAACCAACCTCAGCCTAATCACAAGCCTAATTGTAAACCAAAGCCCAATCAAATTGCCTACTTCCAAGTGAAAGCTTAAGCCTAAGCTTAAAGCAAGCCTAAATTTAAAACAAAGTCTAAGCCTAAACCTAGGTCTAAGCTCAATCCTAAACTTAAATTCAAGTTGATCCTATTCCTAATCATCATACCTAACTCCAGACAAAAATTTAAGCCTAAGCCTTAAAAAAGCGTGGACAATTTCGTCTCTTTTTCCCGACTCAAGAGCCCTATTTTTTGTCTTTTTCTTATCAATAAAAAGTTTTTTTTTGTTCGAAAATGTTTTTACTGTTCACGAAACACTATTAAACAGTTCGCTACTTTTATCTTTCCGTTTTTTTTCGATTGTAAATGGTTTGCAAACCGGTTGGCGCGAAGAATTGATGGGAAACACTGATTGCAAGCACTGATATTACCCTACAACCTTGAAACAATAAAAAATGAAACCTTGAAGGCGACAGTTCGAAAAAAACAACACAACAACAAAAAATCAATAGGTATGCAAAGTTACAGTATCAAATTAAGTCCGAATTTCTCCATACCGTATTTTACACAAAGGTACAGTAAGACATGGTAAGGAAGGGTAGAAGCAAAGAAGAGGGCAAAAAAAAAAGTTAAAGTTAAGTCTAAGTAAAAAAATAAGCCTGAGCACAAGCTTAAGTTTAAGCCTAAGTCTAAGCTTAAACCTGAGCACAAGCTTAAGTTTAAGCCTAAGTCTAAGCCTAAGTCTAAGCCTAAACCTAAGTCTAAGCCTAAGCCTAAGCCTAAGCCTAAGCCTAAGTCTATGCCTAAGCCTTAGCCTAAACCTAAGCATGAACTTGAGTTTAAGCCTAAGTCTAAACTTAAGCCTAAGCCTTAGTGGTAGGGGTGAAAAGAAAAGATTTAGGAGTAGTGGTGATAAAGGTAAAAAAGTGTACCGGTAGAAGTAATGATAGGAGTGGTAGTACAAGTAGAAGCAGAGGCATTGTTAGGACCAAGGGTATAAGCATAGGTAAGAGAGGGGTAAGATAAGGGTAGGAGTAGGGGTAGGAGTAGTAGTACAAGTAAGAATAGAGGTAAAGGTAGAGGTAGGAATAGTGGTAGGGGTAGGAGTAGAGGTAGGGGTAAGAGTAGGGGTAGAGTTAGGGGTGGGGCAGGGGTAGGGGTAGGGGTAGAGGTAGGGCTAAGGGTAGGGGTAGAGGTAGGAGTAGGGGTAGGAGTAGGGGTAGAGGTAGGGGTGGGGCAGGGGTATAGGGTAGGGGTAGGGGTAGGGGTGGGGCAGGGGTAGGGAGGTAGGAGTAGGGGTAGAAGTAAAGGGTAGTGCAAAAATTTTCAAAAATTTTAAAATTTCCTTTATTTTGTTTAAAACTCATAAAAACTGACAAAACAATAAAAACGATACAAGAATCGACTAGATAACAATAAGTTTTGACTAGAAATTTACAATTCACTCGAGACTCAAGAACAATATCGAGATTAAGATTTTTTGGGGGGTTTCGCCGGGATCATTTACTACGGTTTACATATACATCTGGAGTAGATATTACTTACTATGGTCGACTAGAAATGGTACTACAATAAAATTATGATGGTTACTCAAGGAAGGTGGTCGTATTTTACAAAAAAAAACATAAAAGTCAAAAAAAAATTTAAATTTAAAAAAATAGAAATTGAGTACAATATTCCTATGTGTATATACTGAGCTTTGTGTATGTTCATCTCTCTGTATTGGTAAGTTTTGAAAGACTTTTTGTTATGTGAGAAAAAGAAAAGTTTCAAAATTAAAAAAAAATTCTAAAAAATCAATTTTTGATCCAACATGGGTTTTACAGTAACTACTGTAACTCGCTATTATTGTAGTACTGTAGAATTAGTGACGCCCATCCAACGCGTCCAAGTACTTGTAGTCTATGAGCCGAGGTATCAGAATGTGTCTATAACAATATCACTTTTATTTATTATAGTAGGCTTACGCTTAAACTAAGCAGTCTAGGCTTAGTAAGTTTAAGCTTGGTAGATTTAGGCTTAGTAGATCTAGGCTTAGTAGGCTTAAACTTGGTAAGCTTGAGCTTAGTATGCTTAAGCTAAGTTTTTCTTTTTCCGTCCTCCTACTCCGCCTTATCGTATTTACCTTACAGTACCCTGCCCAAACTCAAAATATCCCTAATCTACATTTCCGTAAATTTACTCTACCTTACCGTACCTTCCCTCGCAGTAACCCGACCCTAACTTACAGCATCCCTATCTCAAAAGTCATTTCCTCAATTTAAAAAAAATTTTAAAACCATACCTAATAGGAAGAAAACAGAAGCAAACAATCGGGAACACCATCTCCACAAATGGGTATGGCGAGAACCCGACCGCACACAAAACGACCAGTTGAATCAGTTGACACGCCGTAAACAAGTGCACCTTCCTCTGCGGTACCCTTCTGATGTAATGGGTGGGTGGGTAGGCTTGTTGCTCGGTGATTAGTAGTAGTAATCTTTCGACCATTTCATTCCCTGCCAACGATGTGAATGCCATATGTAGGAAAAGACCGTGTAGTACTGACGTCGGGATCCATCGTATTGGATACGGTATTAAGCCGAATGATGACATTAATATGAGGACGTGGGCTATTAGACTGGCTAAGCGGGTCTCGCGGACGTTCATTATTCTGAAATGAAGTTTTTTAAAAATATAAGTCAAGTACCGTAACTTACAGTACCCTATCCTACTCTATACAACCCCGGCTTACCATACAACTACATTACCCAAGCCTAATTTTCCTTATTCAACAGTGCCCTACCCTAACGTTACGCACCCTAACCCACCTAACTCTACTCCATACTACAGTCCCAAAGCCTACTTAACCCTATTCTACAGTACCCTACCCTACTATACTCTACCGTACTACCATACCCTGCTTTACCGTAAGACCATAGACCTTATTATATTACCCATGCCTATCCTAACCTCTAAAAATACTAAAAAACCTACACTTCATGAACATGTCCCTGAGCTACCCGCTCTTCCACATCAGCCAACGCTCGTAAATGCAGCGGTGAGTGCGGTAAAGCACCGTGCATCCTGAAAAAGTTCCAATTTTAGGTGATATTATCAATACCACATTTAAACATACTTAAAACAAATTTTTAAAACTTTAAAAAACATTTTTAAAAACGACCTTCTATGAAAATAATCTTTTTAGCTCTGAAAGCAATTTATCGATCATTGCACCCAACCGGATTCGAACCCAGGTGGTTTCGCGCCAAAAATTCTGGCGCACTACCACTATACTAGACACGGACGGGTGAAAGTAAACCGCAAAAATAAAAAATAGTATGATTCTAGATCAGAATTTGATGCTGATTCTGAATCAGCAACAATTTTTTCAAAATTTTAAAAATTGAAAAAATTACGACGATTTTTAGAACAATTATTGGGCTACTACAATATCTTCATTCTATTAGCCTTAAAAGCTAACTTGAAGCATAAAAATGCAATGTTTAATTTAAATAAGCTTCACAATTCAATTCCAAAACGATAAACCATCAATGCTTACCATGGTAACCCTCCAATTGATAAGAAACAGTTCAAAATGGCCACCACGAACATGTCCAAATGTACTGCACTGCCCTTCTTCAGCTTGTTCTGACTGTTGTTCACGATGGCACTCGTTATGTTTTGGTCCATGTAGAATAAAAATGACAAAAAGAAGCCCAATAGGATACAAATCGGATATGCTTCGAGAGGTAACGAGAAAATGTCAGGCGAAGCGATCAATGGGATCTCCGTTCGGACTGGGAACATGTCTTCTGAAAATGATGACATTGGTGGGGAATGTCATAGAATCATGATTTTTAAGAAAAAATTAACAGAAAAAGGTATTTTAGGTAACATAAATCGTAAAAATCTTGATTTTCAGCAAAAAATAAAAAATATTACTTTAGGTAACAGAAATCGTAAAAAAATGTTATTTTAGGTAACAAAAGTCATAAAAACCCTCATTTTCCATAAAAAAATTTTTAAAGATTTTACTTTAAAAACCAACATTAAAAAAACTATCATTTTTTTTTTAAATTTAAAAATCCACGCCCTCAATTTTTCTACCCCGCCCGACCAAAAAAACCAAAAAATTCCATTTCCTAACCTAAATTTTCAAAAATAGCCCCTTTTTTCAAAAAAAAATTTTTTACCCCCTCCCCCCTACAAAAAAAATTTACCCCTCCCCAGTGCCCTCCCACTTACTTTCAATCTCACTAAACCCAACCGCGCCCAAAAACGTCATAATCATGACACTGGCCGGTAGTGCATAGTCCGCTAGCCATTCCCTCCTAGTCCTCGTCAGGTAGGGTGTTTTTCGAAAATTGTACAATGACATGCCCATCCACATGGTACCGAGCATCAATAGAACGTAGAGTACGGAAGTGTCTCGATGACAGGGTTTTAGGCCGTTTAAGGTGTGATTGGCCGAGTTGATTTTACTCCCTTCGATCGTGTCGTCACAGCCGTTGTAGTTGATTTCGAAGGTGTGGTGAATGGCTCGAAAACTCTCCACGGTAAAGGCTATGGCTATGAAAAGGGAGAACATCTCTTCGGCTGATCTGAAATTGGGTCAAATGAGTTATTTTGGCCATAATTTTGTTGTTATAGCCATAACTTTTTTGGAAGAATAGGTATAAACTTGAAAATTAGCATTATTGTAGCTGATTCTTTTTGTCATCAAACCACAAGATCAAAATTTAGAAAATAAAAAAAATAAAAAAGTTACAGTACTTCTACAGTACCACCAAAATCGTCGAAAAAATCCGGAAAAATATTTGTTTTAGTCATAACTTATTTGTAAGATTAGGTATGGATTTGAAAAGTTGATAATTTGTAGCTCATTCTTTTCTACATCAACCCACAAAATCAAAATTTAGAAAATTACTAAAATAAAAAAGTTACAGTACTTTTACTGTACCCCTACTTAGAAGTCAAAAAAATCCGTAAAAAACCAGTTTTTTTTTCATTATTCAAAAAGTACATGCCTATTAACAAAAAATGATATTATACACCTTGCAGCCCTTGAAAATTAGTATCTAGTCCATCAATTTCATAGCTATACCTAGCTTTTTCAAAGAGTTATGATAACTTAAAAACCAAGCCTAAGCCAAGCCTAGTAATAGATTGTTCAAATAGTTTTGCGCCCCCTAACCAAGCAAATTTGCTTAGAAAAAAAAGCTCAGAATTATTTGAACAGCCTTTTAATAATAGCTCAAAATTATTTGAACAACCTTTTTGAATAGCTCAAAATTATTTGAGCAACCTAATAAAATTCAAGCCTTACCTCGTAGCCAGCTTCATGAAACTACACAGCTCCGTACAGGCATACAATATTAGAAACATTTGACACGATAAACCGACGCACGCGTACATGGCGTAGAAATCATAATTGAGCGATTCTGATATCCGATATATGACTGAAAAGAAAATTGTGTCATTAGAAACCATTAATAAGCCTAATCCTATCTTATCATGCTCCTCCTTGAGCGGAGCCTTGTCCTTTCTACCCCCGCTCTAATTTACCCCGCCCGACATTTCTACCCCAATTCTAGCATAGCCCGCCTTAAATTTCTACCCCATCCTACCTTACCCAACCAAACATTTCCAACCCAGCCCTATATTTCTACCTCACCCAACATTTCTACCACCAGCCTACCCTACATATCTACTCCCGCCCTACCCAACCCTACATTTCAACCCCTAGCCTACCTTACCCACCCTACCTTAATCTATATTACCTTACCCTAATATAACATGCCCTACCATACCCAACCCCCCCCTCCCGCTCACCTTTTATGTAAATTGCAAGAGGTACAGTTGTGAGCAGTACTATCATTGGTTGGCCGCCGAATATTGAAAAGAAAATCCCGCCGACGGCTTGAGCAAACACTACCTTTCGCACGTCTAAAATTGAAAAAATTGTTATCAAAACGCAAAAACTTTCTTTACAAGTCGAAAATTTCGATTTTAAAGCATAACGCCGTATATTGTACTGAAGGTTCGACTTCATGCTTAAAGTAGTACCAGTAGTACCATTACACAAAAATAGTACCAGAAGTACCATTATACAAAATATTGCTAACAGCACTGTAATGAAAACCGCACCATGAGTAAAATTATCAAAAACAGTACCAGTGGTACCATAACACAAAAACAGTACCAGAAGTACCATTATAATAGTACTAACAGCACCAGGAGTAAAATTATAAAAAACAGTACCATAAGTAAAATTGTACAAAACAGTACCAGTAGTACCATTACTCAAAATAGTACCTTTACACAAAAAAGTACCAGAAGTATCACTATAAAAAATAGTACTACAGTACCATAATAAGAATAGCACTATAAGTAAAATTATGAAAAACAGTATCAATAGTACCATTATACAGATCAGTACCAGTAGTACCACTATAAAAAAATAGTACTATAAGCACCATAATAAAAATAGTACCATAAGTAAAATTATACAAAACAGTACCAATAGTACCATTAAGCAAAACAGTACCATCAGTACCGTTACACAAAACAGTACCAATAGTACCATTAAGCAAAACAGTACCATCAGTACCATTACACAAAACAGTACCAACTGTACCATTTTTAGTGTTTCTTATAGTACCAAAACAAAAAAATGTCAAAAATAATACTAAAGGTACCAGTTTGTCATAATGTGACCAAGGTTAGTAAGAAACAACTTACTGATTCCACCATTTGTATTGTCATCATTCAAGACGCCAAAGGCAATGGCCGGTAACAAACACGCGAAATAGAGAAAAATAATCGTAGAAAAGAGTTTTGAGATCGTTCGATGACCCCTGAGACCTGAAACAAATTCATTATTAACTTTTTACTATCATACAATACTCTACCTTAACCTACTCTACCATATATTCGGTCATTCACTTAATTCTGCAGCCCCATAACAACGAAAAATTGCTCAGAAAAGGGGCGTAGAATTGAGTGAACGACCTAATAATAAGTATTAGATGCCGACATAAAGAACCCGCCATTTTTTACAGAAAATTACAGGAAAAGTATGGCGGGTTCTTTATGTCCGCACCTAATAAATAACTAAAAATTTTTAAAATTTAGTACCAAAAAACAACGTTTTGAAAACCTTAAGGTAATACCAAAAAGTTACAGTAGTAAAAATATGTCTTTTGACTTTTAATATATAAACTTACCATCAAGATAATCTGATATATAAGAGGCTTTTCGTCGTCGAATGTCAGCGAACAGTCCTCGCATTGGGTACCATGGGCCGGTACCAAACTGAAAAAAAGGGTTAAGGTATTGATTACAGTACGACTATAAGAATAAAGTTCACGGTAGGGGTAGATGCAAAGAGTAGGGAGTAGGGAAAAAGGCAGGGGTCAGGGTAGGCATAGAGGTAAGGGTAGAACTTGGCTTTGGGGTACGGGGTAAGGGAAAAAGTAAGGGTAGGGATAAAGGTAGGAGTGGGAGTAGGGGTAGATGTAGAGATAAGAGTAAGGGTAGGGGTAAAGGTAGGGATAAGAATAGGAGTAAGGGTAGGGGTAGGGGTAGATGTAGAGGTACCAATAGAGTTAGCGGTAGGAGTAGGGGTAGGGGTAGTAGTAAGGGTAGGGGTAGGGGTAGGGGTAGGGGTAGGAGTAGGGGTAGGGGTAGGGGTAGGAGTAGTGGTAGGGGTAGTGGTAGAGGCAGAATTAAGAGTGAAATCAAGAGTAATATCAAAGGTAATAGCAAAATGTAACACTCACCACTTGCTCCTTAGCCTCGCTCAAATGAATCGAAGCCTTCCGTTCCCTCCACTGTGACTGTTCCAAGGCCAACTCCTTGGCCGCATCTAATAACGTAGCTCGGAAGACGTCGACAGTCTGTGCCATTACTAACTTCTGCCTAATATCCATATCAGCAAAAAGTGTCGCAAAAGTCCTAGTCGTTTCTAGAGCTGTTTTGGTACCTTTCTGAAACAAAACATTTCATTATAAAAAATTTTTAAAATCCACCCCCAAAATAAAAAAAAATTAACCCTCTCTTCGCTGTAAGAAGTCCACATTTCTGACAAAATTTTTAAAAATCCACCCCTGAAAAATAAAATTTTTTTACCCCGCCCGCAAAAATCCTAAAAATTTCATTTCTAACGCAAAATGCACCTCCTAATACAATTTTTTAATTTTTACCCCTCCATCCACTTTTCCCCTGCCTACCCCCAAAAAAATTAATTTCCCATGCCAAGCCCTTACCGCTCTTGATGGTGCAATGACAATGATGATAAACCTCAAGTCCTGCATCGTTCGACCCAAATTTGTTGGATGTGACAATCGAGCAATGGCGACATGTCTATGTTGTACCGTATTCAACATACATAGAGCACAGATCCACGTTTGATCGTAGTCGAACGTGCCTCCGACTGTGCCGGTCGTGCAAATGCTTTGCACTGTGCGACTTAGAATGTGAACTAAAAATTTTTTAAATTTATTTTAAATTAGAAAATGTTGCAGTGACCTACCCTACTCTGCACTACCATACCCTACATTGCCCTAACCTACCTTACCTTACCCTACTATAACTTACCCTACCTTACCTTACCTTATCTTACCCTACCCTACCCTACCTTACGCTACCCTACCCGAACCCTGCCCTGCTCTACCCTGCCCTACCCTACAGTACTTTACCCTACCCTACTATAATTTACCCTGCCCAATTTTTAAGCCTTTTCCTCTTCCTGATCTACCTTCCCCTCTTCCTAGAAAATGAGCTACCCAAAAATCCACCCCTTCCAAAAATATTATTTATACAGCCAGCTGAATTTAAAAATTAACGTCCCCCCCCCCTTTATAAAATTTAAAAATCTTTGCTCAAGCCCCAAAAGTTACCCTACCCTACAATCCGCCCCACCCTACCTCTAAATTTACCCTGCCCTACAATATCCCCGTTACCTCAAAATTTACCCTCCCCTATAATCCGCCCTATCCTCAAACATTCCACCCCCTACCAAAAAAGTCTTATCAGCCCTTAAAATCCCTCCCCCCCTCCTCGCCACCCCAAATACAAAACACAAAAACCTTACACTGATTCCCAGCATCCTGAGTAAACAGCACCGATCTGACTTGTTCACTAGTAAACTCCGGCTCCTGAATGTCCATTTCGTGAATGATTTTGGCAAAAATCTCTTCCAATGACGTCTCTTGCAGGTCTAGTAGGAGAACGGCCTTGTTGAGCAGATGGTCAATATCCATAGTGGCACGGATTTCACTTCCAAAGTCTTTCATTGGAATCTTCTCGTGCTTGGAGTACATCAGGGTCACGTTGTCGAATTCGTCTGAAATTTGATTTTTATAATTTTCGAAAGTTTTAAAAAATTTTTTTTTAAATTTTCGAAATTTTTTAAAATTTTTAAAAAATTTTTTAAAATTTTTCGAATTTTCTAAAATTTTGAAATTTCCAGAAATTTTTTGAAATTTTAAAGTTTTTTTTTAATTTTTTTGAAATTTTAAAGTTTTGTTTTAAATTTTTTGAAATTTTCGAAATTTTTTAAAGTTTTTTAAAACTTTTTAAAATTTTTTTTTAAATTTTCAAAATTTTTAAAAATTTTCAATTCAAAAACATTGTTTTACCCAAATTGCTCCAACTCATAGTATCAATAGGTGGAGTGTCCGACTCCAACTCGTACGTATCATTCAACTGTACCACACTGCCCATCTGGCTGTTGGTTCTTGAATCATATCGACTGGTAATGCCTCCGGAATCGCGTTCTTTTCGAATGTCATTGAATGGATCCATAGGATCGTTCAGGCTCTTCATACTCATCCACGATACTCGTTTCGCTAGCGAGACCTCCGGCCGCGAGTCGGGGGGGTTTAGGCTTACCCCAGTTATAGTTTGAGCTTGGCTTGCGGGGGCTTGTGCTAGACCTAACAAGGCTAGTTTGGCTGCTATATTCATTTCTGGTTGGCTTGAACGTCGGCCGAAGGGTTGATGGCCGTAAGTTCTTTGGATGGTACGTTTGGCGGGGAAGCCTATGCATGGTGCAGCTGGTTGTATACTCTTTCGTCTGGCTGGTGCATTGATTGATAATGAGGATCCAGAATTGTTGTCAAGAAGTGGTTGTCTGAAGCTGGATTCCCGTTGTGTAGCCGGTTGGTACCTTCGTTTTGTAGGCTGAGAGTAAGGCTGCTGTTGTGAGGTACTGGTGCTAATCCCTTCGTCCGAATCTATACCGTCTTCCGTGGTTGGACACGATGTTACGCTGACTCCAGATGCTGTAGAGACTCGACGTTGTTCTGGTACGAAGAGCAGAGTATGAGATATTCTCCGTCTCAAGCTTTTGATCCTAGCCGCCGCTCCAGAATCGCTAGTAATCAGTCCAGCGTTTGATTTTACTGACGGATTACGGCTAGGCGTGGGTCCGGTATTCAGATGGTTACCTCTTTGAGTAGTCGATAATAATGTAGCTGATGATCCGTAGCCATGAAGTTGTCGATCCAGTTTCGGCGAGATTTGTCGCTCATTCTTGATGATAGTACCACCACTGATTGAAGTGGTACAGCCCGTAGGTGAAGTTAACTGGCCCAGCTCTCTAGTTGGTGCTAATGGTGGTAACGATATAGCTGAATGTGCACTGCCATTCGAGTTGGTTTCGCCTAGGTCTTTGTGATTGCGCGAGGCTGATACTGTTAGTGCTGTAGTAGGCCAGGCCAAGTTCTCGCTAGTTATTATTACCGGTAGATCTTTGGCGGACGCGCTTGCCCTTATATGGTTAGTAATATCACCAGTAGATAGACCTCGTATATGGGCACCTTTCTCGTTTATCACTACTCGCTTTACTGGTACTGGGTTTACAGTATCGGCTTGAAATATTGTTGGGTTGATTACGGTAGATGGGGTTACTGAAGAGGTGGAGTTTGTCGCAGATACTGTTGGTTTAAACTTGGCTGATCCTACTTCAAACTGAACTCGGCTTTCCAGAGTACTAGAGGGGGCACTGTGAGGTGATACTTCACCTGGTGCTGTAGAGTACGAGGTAAAGGTTGATTCTGTGGGGAAGTCTTCAGGGTTCTCTAGGGAGCCTGTAGGTTGATCAGAATCTTTAAACGGCCTTATCACTGTACCTTCACCATGCCTATCAGACCTTTTAGAAGCTTCACCAGGCCTCCCAGTATTAGTACCACCTTCTCCAGCCCTTACAGCCTTGGTCAAGCCTTCTCCACTCCTCATTCCACCTTCAACACCCCTTGTCATCCGTTCAACACCCCCTCCCGAGCTAGCTGAGCTCCCAGCCAAAGCATGTCGTTTACTGGTCGGCGTATGATTCGGTGTTTCAACAACCGTAACACTTTTAACATGTGGATGTTCGGCTGATGTACCACGTATTAATTTGGGCGGGTCGCCAGTTTTGGCACCTGGATCGACCTGCATTTGAGCTCAATTCAGGTCATCCCTTTAGGCTATGGGTTATTCTTGTTTGTTGTTTAGAGGAAAAGAGATTGGTGGTCTACTGGAAATATGTTTAAATGTTAATATTGAGATTGTGATAACAAGTAGTGAGGTTACAATGACAAAAGAAAACGCGGTTATTTTCGAAAATCAATACATTACCAGTACCAACTCCACAAAACCTTAAAAAATCTAGTACAAAACCCAAAAATCCTTAAAAAAGCCAGTACAAGCCCGTAAAACCCAAAACAAAACCAGCACCAACTCCCCAAAACCTAGTACAAAACCAGTACCAACTCCCCAAAACCTAGTGCAAACCTTAGAATCCCTCAAAAAAGCCAGTACCAGCCTCCAAAACTAAAAACAAAACCAGTACCAACCCCACTAAACCCAAAATAAAGCCAAGTCCAGCTCCCAAAAACCCCCGCCAAGCCTAGTACAAACCATGATACTTGAGAGCAATGTTAACGCTTCATAACAGCTTAAGTTTGCAGCCCGTTCGCCCTTTAGCCTGATTTAAAATTCTGCCCCGACTTTGGGATAAATAAACCATTTCGAAAAATGTAATGCAAGTAAAGTAGAGTTGAAAACAAGCAATGACTAGATGGGAAAAACATTATTTTGGCTTTTCAGCATGCTTAAAAACTAAGTTGGGGCTTGGAACAAAGAGTTCGTACTCAAAAATTTCGAAAAAATTTACCCCGCCCAACTGTAAATTTGAAAATCTTAGTTTATACTCCAGTATTGGCTTATCATTTCAACGAATAGTTTTAGAAAAAAGAGTCCGTACTTAATTTTGAAAAAAAAATTATCCACCCCGAAAAAAATTACCCCACCCTAACGTAAATTTAAAAATTTTATCATTGTACCTTCACTAGACCTATAAGAAATTTTAAATCCGATAGGTCTAGTGGAACTTTCACTAGGCCTCCCAGTTGTTCAAAGTTTTGGTACTGCCTTCTCCAGCCCTTTCAGAATTCGTCAAGCCTTCTCCACCCCTAGCCGTACCTTTAATACCCGCTCCCAAGTTAGCCGAGCTCCCTCTCGAAGCATGATGCTTAGAAAAAAAAGATAGTACTTAATTTTTGAAAAAAAAATGTTAACCACCCCCCTCCCGCCCAAAAAAAATACCCGGCCCAACAATGAATTTAAAAAATTTTGTTTATACCACGCCCTTAATATCATTCGTACAAATTTTTTATTTTTTTTTCCACAACATACATACCTAATACAATGTAAAGTTAGTCAAGAGGTACCCTTTCACAAAAATTGCCCCAAAGCCCAACCCAAGCCAAAAATTAGTCGACCCTCGCCACAAGTTAGAGAATTTCTGTTCGCTTTTAAAGTACATACATATTTTGTTCGAATTGCCTTCAAAACTATTCTATTTTAACATTTCCGCATTTCCGAAAAACTCGGGAGGAAAAGAAATGCCTACAGGCGGGGCCGAATGAACGGAATTAACGCTAAAGATGGTCGTTAGTCAAATTAACATAGCGACGAGAAAAAAAAACTTGGATTTGTGAAGCAAAAACAAAGTAGTAGCTTAGAGAGCGTTCAAATTTTTTTTCTAGTGCTACAAGTTTTTTTTAAAATTCAAAAAAAAATAAATGTTAATTTTTTTTGGGGGGGGGGGAGTGTGAGAGCGAAAAAAAATTGAAAGAAAAAATTTTTATTGTTTCCAGAGCCGCCTGGCACTTTTTTTTAAACCAGGGAGGGTAGATTGATCCGATTCTCTATTCCCCCCCCTCCTTGTAATAGCGACAAACCTATACACACCCAGAAAAAAGTTAAAATTTGATATGCCCATCACAAATAAATATCTTAACACGACTTTCTGTAATGATACGCCCCATCTCATCAACCCATCACTCAACTCAACGTTATGCTTTATTTACCCCAACCCCCCCCAATCTAGTACATACTCTCACCAAACGTAGTACAAACCCTTCTTCAAATCTAGTACAAACCCACCGCTAAATCAAATCCAACCCCTCTACCTCTCGACATAATCAAGTACAACCCCCTCCACCCTACATCATTTCCCCACCACACCGCACGCCACACGTACGATCCGCGTACAGCACGAACCAATTGCCACTTATAGAAACGGCGGCAAAAACACATTTCGCTCACGTTCCTCACCGAAAACGTCGCACATAAAACCCCACGACAAATGATGGATGCTTTTTTGGTCCAAACTTTTTTCGCCGGGCTCCCCATCACTTCACGCAGAACCATTTATGAAGCCAACAAACGGTCCGCCAGGCTTAAAACACTGAATGCCAATTGAACATTCAACGTTTTTTTAATTGCAATAAACGTTTCTTAAGGACCTCGTTAAAGCATTTTTTGCCCAAAACTTCTTCGACAGACGGTTTTTCACTGACATAAAGCACTTCGAACGCAAGTTTTTAGTGTTATGTGGTTGGGTAGGACTATGCATAGCTACGACAAGTTACAGTGAAACCTCTGTATAAAGAATCGCTAGGGAAATTAAAATTTGTTCGTTATAAAGGAGTTTCGTTATACAGGATTTTTAAATGCACTGTGTAATGATAGCCGGGGATTCAAAAGTTGTTCGTTATACAGGGGTTTCGTTATATAAAAGTTCCTATTACGGAGGTTCCTCTGTACATTAAAGAATCATGCACTAAAATCATGCTTTCTTCATTTACTAATACAGTGGAACCTCCCTATAAAGAACTCCTGTATAACAAAACCCCTGAATAACCAACAAGTTTTGAATACTCGGCTAACACTACACAGTGCATTTAAAACTCTTGTATAACAAAACCTCTTCATAACAAACAAAAATATTTTAATTTCAAAACGATTCATTATACAGAGGTTCCACTGTACCAAGAAATAACAAAAACTATAGAAAAGCTGCCGATGATACCAAAAAAAAGAATCAAGGAAGACAACTATCAAAGTCAAAGAAAATTAAGCGTTCCAAACTTTTAAAAGCTTAATACCAAAACATATTATAGGTGGCTTGCCAGATTAAAGTGTTCCACGACATACATAGATTAAGCTTTCAGTTGGACTTCAATGCTTCAAATTTAAGTTGGATGACAAAAATGCCAAAATACATGTTCATGAGCGACGGTAACTAATAAGGGATCTCGTTTTACTGATAACCTAACCCAACTAATTCAAAACTGATTTGCCTGGCAATAAAGCTTTGGATTACCTACCAAATTTGACAAGCTACAAAATTAAAGTCTCAATCTGTTTACATACAGTCAAGCAAAGGCATAACTAGAAAAGAGCTAGGTAGGTATGAAATGTAAATGATTATAGAAAAAAAACCTGTAGCGACTCCCCTAAGTCCAAATATTCTAGTCTGATGAAAAGATTAACCTACCCCAAAGCTTAATACTGCTTACTAATTATTTACAAAACTCACAGAATTAAAAATAACATGATATGCACTTATAAAAAATTCAAAAATCTACAAAAAAGTTCATCCATACAGAGCAAAAATTGGAAAATAATCACCCCCCTCCAATTTTCGACATGCTCCCTACAAAAGTATAGCGCTTAACATAAACTATATAACCGTATATCGGTTAGCACTAATAACTTCTGTATATCGATAACCGTAATAACCACCGTATCTCTGTTAACCTTAATACCGACTAACAATGAAAACCCTTCCCATCGCTTCAAATCCCAAACAGACAACAATCAAAACCCCGTAGACGATTAACACTCCTTGACCCCGCACCTCATGTAACAACAACCCGTGTTTATGAACCTCGACAAAACCTGCACTTGTGGCCGCGGGACGCGCGTTTGACGGGCCTCCTCCTCGTTTCCACTTCATACTTGAATATTTTTTTTTATTTTCTTTTGATGAAAAGCCCTGCGCCGAAACGAATCGCGTTTAAGGAAGACCCGTCGTCGAAGAAAAGGCGGGTTGTAGGCCGCAAATTGAATTAAGAGAATCCCGTCCTCGCCTTATTTTCCTTTCCATATTGCTCGGGCGTTTTCAGAGATTCTGAAGCGTTCCGTCGGCTCCGGCATGAAAAACGCAAAAATTTTTGAGGAAAAAACGCTTTACAGGATCGTTCTGAATAGTAGTGAAGCCGGGATTCAAATAACGATGGTGATATGAATAATGAAGTTTGGTTTCAAATGGAGCTGGTAATAAAAGTACAGAAGCTTGGCTTCAATTAGAGCTGGCAATATCAGTACTAAAGCTGAACTTCAAATAACGATAGTGATATGAATAACGAAGTTTGGCCTCAAATGAAGCTGTTAATAAAAGGACAATGAAAACTTTGTATAAGGAACTCCTATATAAAAAACCCCTGTACAACTTTTTTTATTCCCCTGATAAAACTACACAGTGCATTTAAAACCCCTTTATAACAAAACCTCTTCATAACAAACAAAACTTAAATCTCCTAGCAATTAGTTAGAGTTTCACTGTACTGCTGTTTGGCATCAAAAGCAGAGGAAACATACAGGGGAACTCATGTATAACGAACAACTTTTAAATCCCTGTCTAACACCACACAGTGCATTTAAAACTACTATATAACGAAACTCCCCTATAACAAACAAATTTAAAATCGCCGAGAAATTATGCAGGAATTCTACTGTAATAAAGTTTGGCTTCTAATAGAGACATTGTTTAGCATGACCTAACAATCATTTGTTTCAGCTAACATGTTCGTATTTTACAAATTCTAATTGGAGCAAGTAACTTATCAAAACCATGTCCTCAAAGCCAACAAACTGTAACAATTAAAAATTTAAAAAAATCCTAAAAAGTCTCAAGCTCTTGACCCCCCCCACTAAAACTAATAGAATTACCGTTAAAAACAAAAACGCTATGTTACACTTGAATGCATCCACCCTCATCCGCCAACCACAATCGAAATCAAAGTAATCGGGATTAGGACGCAGTTGGGCGATTCTTTTCATGAACACCCCCATCGCCCCGCCACAAGAATTATTTTATAAATAAA